GTACAGTTTGTAGCCACATAAAAAGCATGTTGAAATGTCTTGTTTCATATTATGTACTAAATCTGCGGTAATTTTAGATTTAATCCATTGCATTTTAGAAGAATTTTTTTTTTACTCCAAACCAGTTCTTTCTAAAAATATTTGTAAACATTTCCTAGGCTGAACAAATTCATTTTCTGTACTGAAGAAAATCATTCTCCAGTTTTGCTTTGGAGTGACAAGAGGTTACCTCTTATCAAAAGAATGAACAGTAGATACATTTGATTTACAAAGGTCTCCTTTTAAAAAGTTCTGTTATTGCAGCATTTATTTTGGATACATTAGTGAGTAGTTACAGTTTATTTTCTTCCTTTCTTTAAGATCAACGTCTTAGTTTGACTCCTTTATGGATCAGTGTGGTAACCCACACCAACTTTATAGTAGGAACTGAATTTGGCCTCAAGTTAGTAGCCTGCCTGTTTGTGTCAAGGGAAACAACAGTGATGTTAAATGAATCAGAAATTTGGCCAGGAACAGAACGTGGTCTGGATTACAATCAGAGTGGAACTGTTGCAGTACTAATGCTGCTGCTTTTCTTAAGAGTCCTTCTGCTTAGGTGCTTATGTCTAAGGACTCAGGCATGGGAAGATTTCAGTTAGTCAGAAATGGCCAGGAAAAAGAGAGGAAGGAATTTCTCCCTTTTAATAGGAATGAAGTGCCTGATTGACATTGGAGGGAGGCATCCATACTGGCTTGGGTATTGTCAGTTGTGCTGTGAACCAGTCTCCTGGAACTGACATCTCAAAAGCTGGCCAGCTTTCCCTCTGGAAAAAAACACACTCTACTACCCCCAACACAGAATCATACAATCACTTAAGTTGGAAAAGACCTTTATTGTCTTTGTGATCAGGGCACAGATGCACAAAACCTGTTGCAGGTTCCCTGATCTAGAGCAGGGGTCTTGAATTTGTACTTCCCTATTAAAATTCAGCTGATAGATTTGGGCTCCCTTTCACGATAGGCTTGTAAGGAGCAGGAGCCTAAAGCTGCCTTGCTAGCACTGCAAGCACCACTGGATTATAGTGTCAACCTGTCTTCTCTTCTGCCTTGTTGGAGAATTGTGCCATAGCTTTGACAATTCAGCAATATTCAAGTTGAAGAACTTAACTACTTCTACAGACTGTTGTCATTTTGGTTTAGCTACGTTGCCTGGGGACACAGGGAAGACAAGATCGGTACACAGAGCAAGACCTTCTGTTTAGACTGACTGGTGTAAGTTCAAGAAAAATTAGATACCAAGGGGACCTTGCTTACTTTTCCTGATTGCATCAGGTGATGTAAATAAAATGTTACTTGGAAAGCTTGTATTGCCCATAGATGCTGTGGGCATAAGCTAAACACTGGTCACATAAATGGAGTTTATTCTTGGATTTGGGAATGTGGGTGACTGGGTTCTGAATCCCGTGTGACTCTGGCCTATTGTGGTGCTACAGCCCCGTTTGTTTCCTGTGTAATGCCCTGCCATCAAATTACCAACATGCAACAGCTTTTTTTTTAATCACACATCAGCTAGCAAAGGTCTGAGAAAGTGTTTAGGTTTTCTTCTCAGCTGTCTGTGAATGAATGATGCAAGTTATTTAAACTAGGGTTATTTTTTACAATCCAGACTGCAGAAATACATTAGATATTACAGTTTCTGAATATAATTAGTTTTGTTGACAGTGACCTTTTCCATTTTTTCCATGAGTCTGGAAGTTTACTGGTACTATTTATGTAAGAAACCTGTGTGCTTATTCTAAAAGCATCACTGTTCCTGACATTTCACAGCAGTCAAGATGAATCACTGCTAATATACTTAAATACACAGAACCCGTTCTACATTGATTGTAAGACTGGTTAGTAGTAGATTTAGTTTTCAAAAATGTTGAGAAGAAATTTGTCCAAGACAGCAAATTAAACTAGTGTGTGGTAAAATGTGGGTTGCTTTCTAAAGACTGATGCATTTTTATTGCATTGTAGTAGCAAGAGTTGAAAATACTCTGGGCTGCTTCAATGCTTTCAGTGTTCCTGAGCTTATAGGCTCTCTAGAGAAATGTGCCACATTATCAAATACAAAATGTGCCACATTATCAATACAAATTATATTTCATAGATCCAGGTAAATTCAGAGCTGATGTAATCAGGTAGATTATTTCTGCAGACAGCTATTTTCGGCTTTGTACTTTTAAATTTCAAATCAGGCTAAAGTGGTGCAAGACTCCTTCCTGGAAGTATGGTGAAGTAAAAACACCTGGGCTGTTTGGCTCATCAGCCTTTAGCTTGGGTCCTGTTTGTGACTGGGTCTGCACCAGTGGGCAGGTGTTTCCTGCACATCTCCGTTGTAAGGGACACTATTATCACAGGAGATCTTAAACAGCATCTTAAACCTATTACCTGTTTTGAGGGAGTTTTTCCCTAAATGTATTCAAATTCAAGTTACTTTTGTTGTCACCGTAAAAATCCCCTTGAGGCCGCTTAATCTTAGAGTTATCCAATAATGGAAAGTGTTTGAAAAAAAACTGCACTATCCTATACTCCTGTTAGCTCCTCCTGATGCTGTTAAAGCTCCAGAAAAGCAAACTTTTGTGAAACCAAAGGCATAGCCAGAAACCTTCATTACCTGGGCAAATGAACTTCTTACACTGGATGCCAAACAGACTGACTGATATGAACATTTGCTTTTTTGAGCTGATCAGGATTGCTTGGGACCAAGAAAACACAAGACTGCCAGTATAATCTTGCTTTGCTTATTCAGTGGGTCATGCTACTGAACACTTTGTAAATAATGTGAACAGGATGTGATAATTAGAATGTTTCTAAAGCTCTGTATAAGGCTTTGAGCTTTTGCAGGCATCTCAATCGTGTGTTTTCACTGATGGAAAAAATTCCTATGGATATTTTTTATTGGTACTAAAAAGATGGATTAGAAAAATTCAGATAGATGTGATTCATGGACCAAGAAAAGACTGGAGTCTCCTGTTGTCTGCTATCACTGCTTGTCTAACTGTTTCAAAGCAGTTTTAAAATACCTTGAGTCAGTTTAGAGCAAAGCAATTTATACTTTGCCTGTGTGAAACACAGTTCCTTGAATGAGCTGAAGTGTGATTAGTCTTTGGAAAAATTTGGAAACTGTGTACCAGTTTTGGGGTTTTTGTTGCCAGATATATTATAATTTCAGTAATCTCTGTATTTTGTTGAAAGTACTTGCTCCAGATGAAGTATCGTAGTAGTTTGTAGTTTGCCTCCAACTTGGAAAGTATTATTTTAGTGTCATAGGGGAAAAGAAAAATGAAATCCTCTCAAGCCTTGCTCCCCTAAAATATATGAACCCAAGGTTCTACATTTGTTCTTACCAGGAAGGATGTATTCTGAAAAAGCTAGAACAAGTAACTCTAGCTAGAAAGGGGGGAAAAAACAAAGTCTTTGTGTTTTTAAATCATCTTTACAATCACCAGCATAAGGCTGAAAAGCTATTAAACAACTGGTGTTTTCAGGCTGATGTTGATTGCTGATGTACAACACACAGCCCATGGAGACCTGGTGAATTATTCCTGAGTGTCACCTTTCTGACCGTAGTGGTCTCTAAAGGGTTTTGCTAAATTCTGCTGTAAACAGTGAACTGCTGGAAGTTGAAGTTGCTTTATTTTGAGAATGAGGAAGCATTGTTTCAAGGGGAAAGCCATTAGTATCTCTAAAGGGAAGGTACACAGGCCCTGAGTCCTTCAATGGTATTGCACCATGGGGCACTAAATATGAAGTGTTTTTACTGTTGAAGTGGATGATCAGTGATGCTTGAATTCCTGTTAGGGAAAAGGTGTACAGTTAGGCTGCAGCTGCCTGCAGGACAGGAGCTTGTGCTGTTAGCCAGGAAGGGAGCAGATCCCGACTGGAATCCTTCACCTTCCATGGATCAGCAGTTCACTGCTTTCCTTGTTTAAAGGAGAACATTGCTCAGCATCTGCTGAGAGGGAAACATGAATCTCTTCAAGCCTTAACAGTGGCTGAAACACACAGTACTGTAAGATGCACTGCCAGCATATTTGGTATTTTAAGATAAATTATAGTTTTTCCTTAGAAATCAAATTCTAGTATTGAAATTGTCTTACTGTAACCGGTTTACTCTTGTGTTGTTTTGGAACCTGAATCCCAGTGCTCATGTTTCATGCTGAACACTGCATTGGAAAGCAGTCATTTTCACTTTCCATAAGGTATTGTTTGTGATGGTCAGTTTCTACTTCTGCCTTGTGGACTTCACAGCTGCAGGCATTGCCATGAGCCCACCCCTGTAGCCAAACCAACTTGTACTTTCCTTCCATGATCATTGATTGACCTGCCACTCAGAATGGTGGATGTAGTAATACCCATTGGACTGCTAGAGATTGGGTTTAAAACTTGCTGCTATCTTTGGAAACCTGATATGGGTCATGTTAATTGTGCCTTTCATCACTGTTTCTTCTGTGTGCCAGAATTGTCCATGTATATTTGAAGTAGTCACTGAAGTAAATCTGTTCTCACAATCTCTCATACAAGGAGAGGACAGATCTGTATCTTGAGACAGTTGTTGCTTTACCATCGCAACACTATCGATCTGTACTTTCACACAGTCCCAAGGCAAGGTATTCCAATATTACTCTTCAATAAAACTGCTTTTTGGTGTCACTTAAACCCCTCATAATGTAGAGCTTATGCCAGTATGTGCATAGTATCTGCAGTAAGAGTTATGCTACATAGACTTGTTGCAGTTAAATTTAAGCTACAGAAATGTACAAGTAACTTGTTTTTAGGAATGTACTGCGAAAGTATTTGAACAAAATTGCTAACATGTTTACTGTTGTAAATATTTTAATAAAAAAAGGACACTTCAAACTTTTTTACACAATTATCTACAATAAAGAGAAATTTACAACCATTTACATACAAAATGTTCTTAATTTTTTCTTTACTGTCAAAATGGCTAAGGTAGAAACAAAATAAACATTAGATACATGAAGTCTTGGTTTTATTTCACTCTGTATTTATAAAAGGAACAAAGCATCTTGGTGAAGTTCCATCCACATGCTAATGAGATCAAATAGAGCATGATGAGAAGTGCAAATGGATACAAAAGAATAGCTGTGTTCTTCAAAAAGGGCAATGCTGAAACAGAAGCAATATTGAAGCAAGTATAAAGCAGTGCTCTTTGATAAAAGTGCTTCATGTAAAGTAGCCTTGGGGCAAGGTAGCAATAAAAACAGTTCTACTCTGCTGTCCTCCTCAGACATCTCTGCCCTGCTAGCCCTACAGTTATCTCAAAATGCCTTGGGGAACTGTTTTACCTAAAACTATGGTCTTAAACTCATCACTGAATTTTTATCTAATGCAAACATCTTCAAGTGGATTTACAGAGGAAATCCAAGAAAAATAAGTTATGGTGCTACAGGACTAATACAGGAAGGGAATTTGGTGAGGTGGAGAATATAAATTCTTTGGTTAAGATGTCCATCCAGCTGAAAACATGGATTGGTACATTTCTATCCTACTTCATTTACCACAAAGAAAGAGTTACTTCAAAATGCAACTAAGCCTCTGCTTTATAAATAATATGCTAAGATGAAATTAATAGCCTGAAAACATGCTCTTCTTTCTAATCAAACAAATAGAGAAGAAGTTGATGTTACTCACCACTGTATCCTAGGAATGTCACGTAGATGTAATAACCAATTGCAATCAGCCATAATGTATTCCCAACAAAATACCCAATGACAGAATCAGATATGATGACATCTGCAAGAGATAACTGCTCTCAGCTGTTTTGATAGTGCACCATTTTGAAGCAGAGAGATCAAAGTATTCTACTTACAGTTGATGAAGAACAGCTGGATAAAATGCAGAATGACTAGAAGAGGGTAGAAAGCATTCAGATGTACATCAAAGGCATATCCCCACTCCACATCATAATCTCTGTTCTGCTGCTTCACTAAGTACTTATTTGAAATGAACCTACATGAAAAGATATTTGAGACTGTTGTTAATATGAATCTATAAAGCTGACTGACAAAACATAGGTTTGATGTAGTAAGTAATATGTGATCCCAGTGCTCCACCATAAAGTTTCTGCTATCTGGGAATAAAAACGTGCAAGAATCATGCAGACCAAACTATTGTTAAATGGTTTTGTTAAAACTGCCATCACATCCCTTGCATGCTACAGGCAGCTGAAATACCCCGCAGGTAATACAGAAACAAAACTTCTTTATAAAGAAGGGATCAGTGCTACAATTTATCAGTCACAAGCTGCCACTTCTCTCTGTACACACCAGGAGATGACTTCAGTGAAGTGCTCTTACAGGATCAGCCCACCTCACATAGAGATGGTTTATTTGATCTCTACAGAACTGATGCACTGCAAGGACAGGAGGAGGGCAAGAGAGTGCTCATAACATGTGCTTATCATTACTGAAAAGATGTGCAAATGCAATGTGCACTGCCCAGTATTACAGGCTACCAAATGAGCCTCAAGGCTCTTTCCTTCAGCTTAAGTTCTGCTGACATCAAAATATTTATCCCTTACAGAGGAGGAACAAGAAGTCAATACATGCTCAGAAATAAGAGACCAGATTTTTCATGGAAGCTTCCTCTAACCTACTCTTTGTGCCAAGGGTAGGGATGCAAAGAGGCAGAGCCTGGGTGCAAGGTGAGGAGAGGTGGGACAAGAAGGAGTTCAGACTGATTAGGAATGGGGGATGCTTTTGGGAAAAAAGGTGAGCTTGGACTGGAAGAAGAGACTTGAACCAAACTCGGGCCAGGTGACTGGTATTGAGGCCTGCAGGAAGCTGACTAAAAGAGCAAAAAATAGCAGATCCTGAAGTCTTCCTGGCTTAAGAGATTGCATCCTGAAGCACAAATTGCTGGAGGATGGGGGCAGGGAGCAGTACTATTAGCTCTTCCCCAAGCAATTTATGGCTTGCTGTCCCAGACAGGAGCATAGGTCAAGTGGACCTTTCCTCTATCAGCTACGTTTCTTTTATGTACATCATTCTCAGTTTTGCAATTATAAGCAGGAGTTCCTGAGGCCACTGTCAGGTTTCATCCCTTTTCCAATCACCATCACTTTAAGACGTCAACTCCATCCCTAAAAACTCTTACATGCCCTTGCTTTCTTAAGTTCCTTGTAAAATAAAAATTCTTTTTTTGGTGCCCTCCCCTTGCTGCAGCCCAGAAACAGTGGCTTCCTGTAGTTTCATGGTTCCCTCACTGCTGCAGGACCCATCTATGGTGCTGATTAGGCCTGGATTGTAAAATGACCTGCTCCTGCCTCTCTACTTCTGCAAGTCTCTGGGCAGGAGAGGATAAAACTGGCAGCACCAACAAAGCAAAAAGGTGCCAAGCACAAGAACAGATGGGGCTGTAGCTACAATCTTCAGCAAAAAGCACGGGCCAAGTGTATATGGCCCTGCTTAAACAGAATCATCCTCAGGCTCACACTACTTGACTTCTTCATTCGTTATTTTGATTGAACAGCTTTTTCTTTTTTTAATCACCTTTTTTTTTTTAAATTTGGCATTACTGCTGAACATTAACCAGCTCAAGATGAAAGAAACAAAAGCTGGAATGGTAATCAAAATACAGGCCTTCTGACCATTTAATCTTGTAGGAAATAGTAAAGAAAGATATATTCTTTTTTAAGGCATCATTTTGAAACAATTACTACCAACAGCTTAAAACCTATATTCAATACTTTAGTGTAAGTTTACCCAAAACAAAGAACCTAGTGTCTCACAAACAGCAGAGGACTCTGTGTCTGAACAGCAATAGTGAACTTGGCTGCAGAAATCACTACTTACCACATCAGAGTTGCAATCAGGAGCCCCACGCCCACGCAGTCTATGAATACAACCCAAAGTAGCAGTTTTATTGTTTCAAAAAACCCCATGTCCAACACAAATCCAAATCCTACAGTAGACACTGAAAGCAGAGAAAGATCATTAAAGTCAGCTGTAGAAATGAAAGCATGAGATCTTAAACTGATGGATTTTTTACTGTATCCTCTTATGAAATCTCCAGTTTCCTTTTTATTTTTCTCCCAATATTTTAAATCCAACAGCTCAGGGGTTTTTTGCCACAAAAAAAAATATATATAATGCAGTTTATTCATAATATGAACACTCATCTCTACTTGGGTCCAATTGTAATGCTCCATCCAGACTATTTTTAAAAAAAAATCAGACAATGCTACAATAGGACCTTCTTTATTTTATAAAAGCTCCTTGTTAACCCAAACAACATGTGTAATTCTATCTCAGTAGAGAGTTTTTCTATTAAGAACAGGAATACACTATAGAAGGCAACTGAGACAATACTGAACTTGCAGTTCAGTCATTTATATTAGCCACTTTGTTATAGCTTAATTCTGCAATATACAGAATCTCACCAGGGCTTTTATGGTAAAAACAATGTTTTATCCATAATATTCAGGTAAACCAAATATTCAGTATTTTTAAACAAAAACATTGCTGTGTGGCATAGGGTTTTCTTACTGTCTGTAAAGTTACAGTGAACTATGCAGTTCAAAATGCAACAGAAAATGAGTTGCAATGGAGAGATCAATTCAAGACCACAGAGTACTACTTAAGCCTACTCTGGTTTCTACTTCCCACCTTAACTTCAAAAAGGCGAGTCCTTTTTCTTCTGTTCTACTTTGATTAAAAGATCATCCATACAGATTGGTCCTTTTGTGTGTGTGTGTGTGTGTTATTAGAAGGAAAATAAACGTTTATCCCTAAACTTTCCCTCCCTCTTCCTCATACTGTCTGTTCTACCGCACTCACCACAGAGCCAGATACTGAGCAGCACAAGGAAAGCAGGATCATCTCTTGCCCATTGGTCCTTTGTCTGTTTTCTGTAGTGAAAGTTCCTGTAAACCCTCTGTGGTGAAGTGAACAGGTAAAGCATCTGCCAAAGCGCAAACTCGAAGTCCATCTGTCGGAAGTGGAAGAGCCTCCGCAGGTACTTGTAGCGTTTTGCTCCGGCCGTGTGCCTCGCAGCATCTCTGCGGCTCAGCACACCATTGCCCTGGCTCCCAGAATTAACCAGCGTGGTTGGCAGCATCTTGCTAAAGAAAGAATTTCAAAAGATGTGTTTGATTTTGCCCACAATACAGGGTACAAATAAAATAACGCGATGCAGGCCACGGCTGCAATCCTGAAGTGACTAAAACTGAGCACAGGCATAAACAATGACATTGGTTGGAGCAGGTCCAGAGGAGGCCATGGAGTTAGTTGGTAAGAGAGCTGGAGAACCTCCCTTATGAAGACAGACCGAGAAAGTTGGGGCAGTTCAGCGTGAAGAAGGTTGTGTGGAGACCTCCTAGCACCTCCCAATATCTGAAGGGGCAAAACAGGGAAGCTGGGACACTTCACCAGGAACTGCAGTGACAGGACAAGGAGTAACAGGCACAAACTGAAACAGCGGAAGTTTAGGTGAGATACAAGGAAGAAATTCTTTACTATGGAGGGGATGAGGCACTGGCACAGACTGCCCATGGAGGTTGTGGACGCCCCAACCCTGGCAGCGTTCAAAGCCAGGTTGGATGGGGCTTAGAACAACCTGGTCTAGCGGGAGATATCCCTACCCACGGCGGGGGTCGGAACCATATGATCTTCACGGTCTTTTCCAGCCCTTACAGGGTACGATTCCATGGCACAGGAGCGGCCCGGCCGCC